GTTTGCTTTCCTAAAGGTCAGGGGTCTAACTTTCCTCCTTATGTGACCCTTGTCCCTCAGGACTACGAACTCCACCAGTGCATGATCACTGTAGTCCAGGCTGCCTCCAGTCGTGACATCCCCAATTAGTTCGCTTACATTGGTGACCATCAGATCCAGTATTGGATCCCCTCTGGTAGGGCTGTCTATTACTTGGTTCAAGAAGTTATCCTCCGTGCATTCCAGGAGTCTCTTGGATTGCCTACAGCTCTCCGTGCTCATTTCCCAGCAGATGTCAGGGTGAAGTCTCTCAGTAGGACAAGAGCCTGCAAGTGCAATGCCTCCTGTAGCTGGAGCAAGAAGACTTCATCACTAGGCTCCCCTTGAAGACATGGCCTTTAGTAGTTTAGTGGGTTGACCTTGGCTGGAAGCCAGGTGCTCACCAAGCTGCTTGCTCTATTACTCCCCAGTGGGACAGGGGAGAGAAAATAAGATAGAAAACAACTTGTAGGTTGAGATAAGGCAGTTTACTAAAGCAAAAGAAGTGAAAATTTGTGCATGCATAAGCAAAGGGAAAAAAAGGTTTATTCTCTATTTCCCATTAGTGAGCAATATTCAGACACTTCCCAGGAAACAGGGCTTCAGCATGTGTAGTGGTTGCTCTGGAATGTAAATGTTGTAGAATAACAAATAGCCCCTGGTTCCTTCTCTCTCCCTTAGCTTTTATATCTGAGCTGACATCATATGGTATGGAATACCCTTTGGTGAGTTTGGGTCAGCTGGTCTAGTTGTGTCCCCACCAAGGATTTTGACTACCCCCAGCCCCTTGATGGGGAGGGAATGCTGAGAGACAGTGCTGATGTTGTGCCAGTGCTGCTCAGCAGTAGCCAAAACACTGGTGTGTTATCAACACCTTTACAGCTCCTAATGCAAAGCACAGCCCTGTGAGGGCTGCTAGGGGGAAGTGAACTCCAGCTTAACAGGACCCAGAACAATCTCTACCCATTATTCCATAGCATTTGCATCATACTCAGAACTCACATAATTTTATATATATATATAATTATCATCTAGCTGATCCTTTGTATTTATTTCTCATTACTGGAATCCCTTCTTACCTACACATACAACTTAAACTACATCCTTAAACCATCTCTGTATCCAACATAGAGATTTGTACATTTTCATTAACTACTATCCCCTGTCCTTTCACAGATAGATATTATTTTCACTTTTCATGGTCTTCTTCCACCCCTCCAGATCCATGACTTGGGCTCCAGTCCATCAAGATGGGTGGTCAGGACAGGAGAAGCACCACAATTGATCATTGGGCACTGGCACCAGCCGGGTTTGGGTTGTTATCACATTCTCCTTGCTCCTCACAAAATTCATTCTTCATCAGTTCATGTCATCCCTGCTACTTTACTTCCTGCAGCATAAAACTCACACAGATTATTTTTCGCCCAAGGTTATATTGCCTTGAGGCACACACTGGGTCTCCCCATCCTTCTGCATTACCCAGCAAATTACACCCTGGTCCTTGGGCAAAGACAATCCCACAAATGGGTTTGCCATTTGTCATGGGACTAGAAATCCACACCAACTTCCCCAGCCACTTCCATATGCATAGTATGGGGACCTTATCTTCTCCCAGTGTGTAAGGGTTTTGTGTCGGCAGGACCAGGGCAGTTAGCAGATCCCCTAGTGTTGACCAGCCAAGTGGCTTCTGCTAAATTTGTATCCCAGTGCTTCCACACCCCATTACTTAATGCTCTTAACATAGTCTTCAGCAATCCATTATACCTCTCAATCTTTCCAGAGGCTTGTGGGTGATAAGGGATGTGATATATCCACTCAATACCATGTTTCTTTGCCCAAGAGTTTATAAGGTTATTTTGAAAATGAGTCCCATTGTCTGATTCGATTCTCTCTGGGGTACCATGTCACCACAAAATATGTTTGTCAAGGCCTAAGACAGTGATTTGAGCAGTGGCATGGTTTACAGGGTGTGTTTCCAGCCAGGCAGTTGTTGCCTCTACCATGGTATGTAGCTCTTGCCTTGGAGTTTTTGTGGCAGTGGTCCAATGTAGTCAATTTGCCAGGCCTCACTATATCAGACACCCAGCCATCACCCTCTATTCCAAGGAGAATTTACAGAATCACAAATCAATAAGTTGGAAAAGACCTTTGAGATTATTGGGTCCAACCTATGACCTAACACCACCTTGTCAACTAGACCATGGGACTAAGTGCCATACCCAGTCTTTTCTTAAACATCCCCAGGGACGGTGACTGCCACCTCCCTGGGCAGCCCATTCCAATGCCCAATCTATCTCAACCCTTTGTGATGCACATTGGGCACCAAATAAGGCTGTCATGGCTTAGGAATGGTACTCCCCAATTAAGTTCTCACACCGAGACTTTCCAAACCACACTGCTACTCTCTTCCTCTCCCCTCTTCCCCCCCTTTCCCCTGCAGGTGGCCGGAGAGGAGAATTAGAGGCACAAAAGTCAAAGGTCACAGGCTGAGATATGAACAATTTACTAGAAAAAACAATGAGATAAAAACCTGAAAAGTAACAGCAACAATGTTAATTATTAAAGTATGCAAAAAGGGAATGATTCACATGCAAAAATGTTCAACATAGACCCTGAGACAATGAACAATGGCTGACTGGTTCCCCACCCCACCACTCTTTGTTCTATTTGAAAGGGACACCCTTCTCAGAAGTTGAGAGAGTGCCTTTTGCCTACCTCTAGCAATGATGTAAGGTGGTAATGAATAACACAATGTCTTGGCCACGCCCCCTCCTGCTGATCTTGGCCAGAACCAGGACAGGTACCTGCTTTGATTTCTATATATGTTGAGTATCTCCCAGTGGTAAAGGATCCTGTATGTAGCCTAAGGAGGAACGTACCCTGGAGGATGATTGTCTAAAGCTTTTTGATGTCCCCACTAATAGTAGAAGCTCACATTCATACTCTGATTTGTAGGCTTTTTTCTCTTCTGCTGCAGAAAGATCTTATTAAGATTTAAGTCTGTTCATGTTAATGGAAAGAAAACCTATGTCAGTTTTTCTCTAGGTATGGATCCATGGCCTGCATCTCTTCCTGCTTTTTCCTGTTCTGTCTCTCAACCTTCCTTTCTGGTTCTTTTTTCCATATTTAATCTTCTTTTTCTCGAGTGCACTTGGTTTCCTGATAAAATTTGACAGATGTAATCATTGTGTCATAATTTCTGAATAGTAACTTTTGAAGCTCTAATCAATTTCAACCAAATTTGATAGTGGTCCAAAAGTCTCAAAGATCATTGAATTTCTACAGCCTGCCTTGGCAAGGCAGCAGTCAGAGTAATGAGACCCAAATTAGCACTTCCTTGTTTTGCTGGACCTCACCTTTCATCTGTTCCATCTGTGCAAGCATCACTATGGAGAACTCTCCTGCCCATATGGTTGTGAGACACAAGCATAGGTTTTAATGGCCTGAGTCTGGCTAACCTAGATTCTTTGCTTGACACTTTTCTGTACTAGAGGGACTGCTCACAAAAATTTCATATAAACCTTTGTGCCCATCCTTTCTTACTAACTGGTAAGCCTTTACTCACCCAGGAGACTTGTTAGCACCTAGAGATACTTGTCTCCAGGACACTTCTTAGTGCATGAGACTGGACAGCTGACTGTAACTTAAATATGGATTTAATTGAAAGCATTGGTGAGGTGAGTTTAGGAACCACACAACATTACCTGGGCCACACTTAGGAACCACTAATGTTTCCTGTCCTCGGTGCTTCTGAACAATTGTTAAGGCTGTGATGCGCAGCATGTGTGTGACACTCATATTGAGTACTGTGCTGCAAGAGAGCAAGCAGAAAGTTTTCACTGAAAGGGGAATGTTAGCAGGATGATTACAAACACAATGACTAAAAATAAGATTGTAAAAGGATAAGTAATTACTGGTTTTGATTTTCATATTTTAGACCAGTTTTAATCAGTGTATGTTCTTCTTTTTCCCAGTAGCATATGTATGAGATGTATATATAACATGTACATAACACAAATGTATTTTAAATGTATTTTAAATCCCTCCAGGGATGGTGATTCTACCACTTCCCTGGGCAGCCTGTTCCAATACTTGTCAACACTTTCTGTGAAGTTTTTTTTTTTCCTGAAACCATTGTAGGTCCCTTCCAACTGAACTATTCTATTCTATATACACAAAAATTGCTAATTTTGACCTGAAATTTCCTCTGATATATTTTGACGCTAAGGATAAGATACACTAGGTATTCAAAGTATTTTCTTTCCCCCCTTCTTGTGTAGTTGATCTCATTCCCTCTTTACACGTGACATTGAGAACTTATGAAATCTATCCATCATTAAACTAAAACATGTAGAAGTAAAGCAGACAGCAAAGCAGGTACCACGTTCTTAACTCTTCGGTCTGCATTTGCATCCCCACTTCGTCGTGGGCTGCAGCCTCCTAGGTCGCTGACAGGTACTGCGGGTGCGTGGCCGCAGCTGTCCCGAGGAGGCCGAGCGGAGGCTCTGCTTCACCCTTTGCCTGTCGGGGCTTCTGGAGCGTTCTCTCTGGTTTCGGGTGGTGGTGGGGAAGGGCTGTGGATGAGGTGCCCCGTTTTCCCCCGCCCGGAATTGAGGGGCTCGCCTTTTGTCGCCCCCAGGCTCCTGACGGTGTGGAACGCGCTGGGGAAAGGCTGACGGGGGCACTGGCGGGCGGGGCGTGCGCGGCGCTAGGACCCAGGAGGACGCAAGGCGGCTCTTAGAGCCAGATTGCAAATTCGCCGTGACTCAGTCCGTGTACTGGAGCAGGTTAGTGCTGTCCTTCTGTGGGGCCGGGCTCGGATGAGAGCAGGCCGGGCGTCATGCAGCCAGCTAGCTAGCTAGCGCGCTTGCTTCCCCCCTACCTTCTTTCCTCCCTTCCTCCCTCCCTTCCTTCCCCCCTCCCTTCCTTCCCGGGGCCTGCCGGTCCGCTAATCGCGGCCTCTTGTTTGATGTTTTTTTCAGCAAGCCAAGATGGAGTATGAGTGGAAGCCTGACGAACAGGGACTTCTACAGATCCTGCAGCTGCTCAAGGAATCTCAGTCTCCGGACACCACCACGCAGAGAGCCGTTCAACAAGTATCCTTGGTCGAGGCCTACGCCGCGGGCGGGCGGAGCAGGCAGAGCAGGGCTGCGGCCGTCCGGGCGACCGCTAGGGAGGCTGGGGACTCTGGGTAGGGGCAGCACGGCCACAGGCCAGTGCTGTGGCAGGCAGGTGGCGGCCGGCCCTTTCCGGGGAGCCGCCACAGCGAACACAGTGGGCTGAGCCTCCGCTTGAGCGGGTGGCCGTGGCGCGGCATTTGAACCGCTAAGGCGGCCTATGGGCCTATGGGCCGCCTTCCCCCGCCGAGAGCCCGGGCACCTGTTGCGAGCCTCGAGCCAAGGTGCGTTGTTTTTGTTTTTTTTTGTTTTTTTTTTTTTTAATTTTTAAAGTCCTGGCTCCTTTGTGGCTGCTTTCGTATCTGCTGCCTTTCCAGATTACTCCATGCTGGGCTGCTGCCAACACCTAGCCCTTATCCTAGCCCTTATCCTCAGCATATCCCACCGAGAAGGCTGGAGAGGAGGGGGCGGGGGGGCCCTCTGCTCGCCAGGCAGAGTTGATGATGTGGTGCGGGGTAGCTGTTGCCCCTGCAGCAAAGCAGGGGTGAGCAGGGGCTCCCTAAACTAATCCAGCGCTAGGATTCACGGCAAAAGCCGGAGCTGGTGGGAGGAGTGTTCCTGGTGGAGCTGACTGCACGCTCTCGGTGACCTGCTGGCTCTGACCGTGTTTTGATGTGTTGTGAAGATGTTTCTGCCTAGGATCCTGAGCCTGAAATATTGTTCGTTACATTTTTTACATCTTACAGGAAGAGTGAAATCTACCCTATGTGGCTTGTGCAGCTTTGCAGTGCATTTTGCATTAGTGTTGTGGATTCTTGGTTTGTTGTTTGGGTGTGGAGTTGTTTGTTCCCCCTCAGGTCTCTCTTGACTGTAGAAGTGATGAAATAGCAAGGTTTTAAGGACTAAAGACTGAAAGAGGAAAATTTTACATTAAGTCTAGTAGAAGCATAAGGCTTGAAAAATAAAGCTCTCATCTACTGTCTCCTGTTCCTTGAGCTAACTATAGAGGTGCTTTAAAATATCTAGAAGTCCTGAAAGGATATCCTCCTATGAAGAATATGAGTTTAGCATCTTGATCCCTTTTTATTTAAGGCATTTGCTTGAAGGTCTTCACAAAAGGCAACAAAACATTTATGTAGGTAAGAATACGTATGTATGTTGTGTTAGGAGTTCAGCTTGAAGCCAAATTTGCTTGACTTCTTAGCTTTCCTAGTATATGTGGTCAAACCTTGGAAGGCTTCTGTTCTTACCTGAAAGGTGAAGGTAGATTTCACCTTGTTTTTGCAGCTGTGTTTCAGATTCTTAAGATGGTATTGATTCCTATGAAAAATACTATACAGAAGTTGCTAAGTGTTCTTGTGGTAATCATATATCCTCTGAACAGAGACACAGCTCTCCCAGGATTTCCTGAGAAGCTATGAGAAAGCTCAGAGATTGAGATAGTAATTGTTTTAATTCTATCTCTGCACCTGGCAGGCAATCTGTTTGTCAAAGATGTTTACAAGAAGGAGTTGTCCCTTCTTAACCAATAGGTGAGAGAAGATTCCTAAAGGCCAGTCAAGTCTTAGGTCCACCATTGTTTCTATAAAAACTGTGAATTTCTAATAAAAAAGTGCCTTTTCATGCCTTCTTATGATGGAGTCTCTGTATCACCTTTTTCTGTCCCCTATACCCCTTTGGTGATAATTGGTGACCCCTTCGGTGATATGTTCTGATAATGCCCCAGATTTAAACAGGTGCTCTTTAGTATTTCAAATACAAAAGTGATTATAGCAGCAGTGATTATAATGTAGCTTTCATGTAAAATTACATTTTAAAGGTCTGCTTGAAATAATGGCATCTGGCTATTGATCAGTGCAAGGCCCATCAATGTCAACATAAATATGTATGGTCAGGGTTTAGCAACTTGGAATATTTAGAGCTTTAGCTGTACAGCAAGTAAAATAAATGCCTATGAAGCAAATAATCCTACTAGTTGTAAAAATAATTTTTTTGTTAAGTGTCTTCATTGTTTGTCATACTGATGATATCTAGTATATTTGGTAACTGCATGCTTATAACTTAAAATATTGTTGAGCATAATAGTAATTAATACCAGGGTGTGAGAACAAGATGCAAGGAGAATGCCAGAATGCTGTTCTGGGCAAGCAGTGGCAGAATACTTAGAAATTTGAGGCAAAAGTAATGACAAATTTTAGAAGAATAGCTATGTACCTTCTAATTGTTCAAAAACATAATTCTTCTTGCAGTTGTCCCAGAGAACATAGTAAAGAGGTTGGTATTGCTAGTAAGATGCTTTTTCAGAGAGGTGTCACTAGAAAATTGTTTTGTGTACAGGATTTTTTTTTAAGAGACCATGGATAAACATGAACTTCTTTGTACAAATATCTGGGCATTTACAATGAAACAGCTTCTCACAGTTGAAAGCTCAGATTGGCTAGTTAGCATCATAAAAATGTATATGACTAATATTAAAGTGACTAGCTTATAAAAATCATCATAGTTGTATTTTAATGCTGAAATGCTTTTATTTATTGTGGAGTAAAAAAAAAAAGATGTATTATGTGATTGTGTCTCAGTGGATTCCTTAGGTTTTGTTGACTTTAAGTGCAAATTTTGAAATCTAAAACTGTGCAGAGGAATGTAGGGGGTTTTGGGAAGGTGGGAATTTCTGTGTTTGTTCCTGGATTCTTTTCTCAGATTTCAACATAACTAAATAGCTACTGCTTCAGTATGAAAATTACAGAAATTGTTTTTAAAGTGTTCATAGCCTGTATGTTGTGAGTTTACAGTCATAGCATTTTTAAATGATGCAGTAGTACATAGCTCACTTAATCATATTATTCAGAAAGCTATAAATGCTGAGTGTGATTTAAATTTCCTTAACAGTTTTTCTCTTCAGAAACTAGAACAACTCAATCAGTATCCAGATTTCAACAACTACCTGATTTTTGTTCTTACGAAACTGAAGTCTGAAGGTAAGTTCTTGGGATAGTGACTGGTTTATTCTATTTTTATTTTCTTTTAAAAATTATTTTATTTAGCTTGAAAGAAAAAGGAAAATGATTTTTATACTCAGTGTGCTGATGGGTTGATCTCCATAGTCATGTAGAAGAACTTTTTATCCTCTTGGGAATCTTTGTGAAAAAAGATCTGATAACATGGTGCTTGTAGTTTCAGTCTTGAAAGAGATTCCATTCTAAAAGTCCAATGAAATATTAAAAAAAAAAGTGGGAGCATCATACTTCTATCAGACTGCAGTGAAATTGTGGAATAACTTTGCATGTCATGGTGATGAATCATGACTATACACGTTATAAAACATGCTGCTAAATTCAGTTGTGATTGTGACCTCCCTAGTAATGAATCTATTAAATATTTAGAAAATTACTGTTGCAGCTGCTTGCTCAACCCCCATCTCTCCCCCACACCCTGGTGGAATGGGGAGGAGAATCAAAAGTAAAACTTATATGTTGAGATAAGAACAGTTTAATAATTGAAAATAAAGTTAAATACAGTAATAATGGTAAATTATAATAATAATAATGATAATAAAAAGGGAAAAACAAGTGATGCACAATGCAATTGCTCACCATCTGCTGACTGATGCCAGACCCCCCTTCCCGAACCCAGATGGGCCACCCTTCTGGGTAACTCCCACCAGTTTATATACTGGGCATGACATTCTATGGTGTGGAATATCCCTTTGGTCAGTTTGGGTCACCTGTCCCAGCTGTGCTCCCTCCCAGTTTCTTTTGTGAACCTCCTCACTTGCAGAACATGAGACAAGAAAAAATTCCTTGACTTAGGATAAACATGAGTTAGCAAAAAATGAAAGCATCAGCATGTTATCAACACCATTCTCATTCTAAATCCAAAACCCAGCACTGTAACAGCTACTGAGAATAAATTAACTCTACCCTATCTGAAACCACACAATCACATCCTAGAGTTGTCCAAATATTATGTCTGTAGAATCTTCATTCTGAAGCCTTAATTCTAAAAATAATGTAGTTTCTTACTGTTAGCTTATTTTTATGGACATTTGTACAAACTGTTTATGGCATAGTGTAGCCTCTCCCAGTCGGAAAATTCAGGCAATTCCTTGGTAATGATCAGTAATGACTCTTCACCCTCAGGGCAGATCTTTTAATAACCTCCCTAGAAACCTCTTTCTTAACTCTAAACATGGTGTGGACTGCACTGAGGAGACCTGGCAGACATAGCAACAAGAACACGCTTTCCTTAACATCCAAAGGGAATTCAGAATTCCCAAAAATTGTTGTAACAGGCCTGAAGGAGGAAAAGGGGGTAAAGTCTGGGGAAAATCATCCTCCCCTGTTCCCCCCAGAGGCTGGGTACAATTATTAATGGACTCCCAAAAGTAGCACCCAAGGCCAGGGCAGGAGAGCAACACTGAATACACATCCCAACTGATCCTCATTGCACTTGATGTTATCATGTCATAAACTGATATCCTACAGTACAGCAACAAAGCAATCCTGATCCCTCTCCCTGCTCTGAAAACGAGCACCACAAGGAGCATATACGAGATCATACACAGGATTCGGCACCACACGCATATGAACAGATCAAGCAACATTGTGACCAGTGACTCTGCACCTAATACAACAAATGGTTAGATCAAATTAGTTTCCAACCTTCTCTTGTCAGATCTGTTGTTATCTCAACCCTTTGTGCTGCACATTGGACACCAAATAAGGCTGTCATGGCTTAGGAATGGTACTCTCCAATTTAGTGCTTCCACTGTGTCATGAATTGAATGAGTGTTTTAATATTGCTTAAAGAATCACTGGCAAAGATATCAGTAAAAACTGGTTTAAAATAAAAGCAAAAGCACAACAACCTTCATTGGCAAGGTTCACTCTACTAACTAGATGGTTAAGGCACATGGAGGAAAAGCAAACAAAAAAAATCCAGTCAATCAATCCAAACCGAAATAAATTGAAAATTATCAGGGAGGAGTGGGGGAAAGACAAAAGGATAAAAAGGGTAAGGATAAAAACTAATATGGCCTAAAGGCCCAACAGCACTTAAACTTAACAGTTCTTAAACTTATCAGTACTTATCCTAACTTAAACTTGACAGCACCTTAACAGCATTTAACTTAATTTATAACTTAAGCAATTTAACAAAGGATTCATATAGGATTTACTGTAGCACAACAGTAACTATCTTACAGGCGTAATTTACAATTCTAAAGTACTTGAGAATCTCAGAGAGCAGTGTTTCCTCCACATTTGCTATAGCATATGGATACAGATATAAAGAGTCTGTACAAGGTATCTGTGAAAAATTCCTCTCAAAGGTAGTGAAACACTTACTTCAGATGCCTTTGCATCTTCTCAATGGGCAAAGAGTCAAGCCTTGAGGAGTGGGGGGTATCAGCCTGTCACTATCGAGTAAGAAAGCGGCGCGGACTCCAAGCAGGCTGGTTTGCACAACAGCTTTAATGCGAAAAACTCTTCTCTTTTTTAGACAGTTCAGATACATTCCACTTGATTTGCTAATTACCAAAACCACCTTTCTCCCAAACAATCCTTGAGAACAGAAAAACAGAGAATAGGAAAACACCACCTGCAGGTTGTTTATAATAACAAGTTATCATCCTTTCTCTACAACTCCCTAAAAGTCTCACAAGTCTGCTGTGAGAAAACTTATCTCATTTTCTCGCTCTCTGACCAGGCTGTCACATCCACATCGGCCCAGGATTTATTATTGTTTGGCAATCCTCCAAGTTCACTGCGTCTCAGAGGTCTCACTCAGGGAGGTTGCTGGTTGCAGCTGCTGTGGGCCAAGAGAGCTCAAAGGGTCTTATTTTGGACTGCTGTTTATAGGGTTGCAAGAGAGTGCTTTGGTCATAATTTTTCATCCTGGCCACACTTCAGGTCCTGCCATTGGGTCACAACAACCCCCTGCAGCACTACAGGCTTGGGGAAGAGTGGCTGGAAAGTGGCCCTGTGGAAAAGGACCTGGAGGTGCTGGTTGACAGTGGCTGAACATGAGCCAGCGTGTGACCAGGTGGCCAAGAAGGCCAATGGAATCCTTGCTTGTATCAGAAATAGTGTGGCCAGCAGGACCAGGGCAGTGATTTTTCCCCTTTATTTGGCACTGGTGAGGCTGCACCTCAAGTACTGTGTTCAATTTTGGGCCCCTCACAACAAGAAAGAAATTGAAGTTCTGGAGCATGTCCAGAGAAGGGCAATGGAGCTGGGGAAGGATCTGGAGCACAAGTCTGATGAGGAGCAGCTGAGGGAGCTCAGGGGGCTCAGCCTGGGGAAAAGGACGCTCAGGAGAGACCTTATCACTCTCTACAACTACCTGAAAGGAAGTTGTAGCCAGGTGGGGATTGGTCTCTTCTCCCAGTTAACACATGACTGGACAAGAGGAAATAGCCTCAAGTTGCACCAGGGGAGGTTTTGGTTGGGTATTAGGGAAAATTTCTGCTATGAAAGGGTTGTCAAGCCCTGACATAGGCTTCCCAAGACAGTGATGGAGTCACCATCCTTGGAGGGATTTGAAAGCTCTGTGGATGTGGCACTTGAAAACATGGTTTGGTGGTGGACTTGGCAGTACTGGGTTAATGGTTAGACTTGATGATTTTAAAGGTCCTTTCCATCCTAAATGATTCTGTGATTCTGTGTCTAACTGTGGCTGCTAAAAATACTGCTTTCATTGTGGCTTGCAAGGGCTGTAAATAGTGTGTAAATGAAAGGAAAATACCTTTGGCTTACTTCCTGGCCAGACACAACATTAATTCTGAATAACTGCTTATGGAGGACTGGATTACTTGGATATGAGCATACCTATCAGTGGATTATAGATATGCAAGGAAATAATAATTGGACATATTAAATTAGTGTAATAATAATTGGAGAGATTTTACCTAGAATTCAGAGAGCATTTCAGGTAAACCTGAGACTGATCAAGAGTTCAAGTAAGAATGTCCTCCTTTAGGATATTTTCCACCTGACCTTTGCTATTGACATCTTCAAAATTTTAAGCAAAATGATAAAATTACTTTATTTGACTTGCCAAGTAATAATAATAATGATGATAACGATAATAATACTTGTCACATCTCATAACCACATTCTGTAGTTGACAGAGGTATGTCTGCTCATCTAGTTTTTGGTATTTTTATTTAAAATTGTAAATCTGTTGTCCTAGTGAAGTTTTTGGTCCTTGAAATGCAGTGCCCTGCAATAACTTTTATTTTTACATTGTTTAAAAGTTGGTAGGTATTTAAAACCTGTAGTATAGGCAAAGTTATAGAATTTTTAAAATATATATGCATCGGGTGGATTCCTAGTTTATGAAGTTACTGAATTCTATGTAAGAGTGATGCTTGTAAATCAATATTTATAGTTACAGAGAATGAAAATTAGTGCTTCTTTAGGAAGTGTCTTGGTTTGAAAAGACAGGTGTCTTCTAAGGAAGGCAGGAGCCTTCCTTGAAATGGAAAATGCAAACCTCCTCCCTCCGAATTATTGTAATTTTGAAATTAAGGGGCTGTCAGGCAAAGAGATGGGAATAGGAATAACAGTTCTTTACTAGGAAAATTGAAAACACAAATGCAATAGTACAAACAAGAAAACAAACCACTGACAGAGTCAGAATAGAACCTGAGACCCTGTTGGTCAGGGTGTTGGTAGCAGTCCAATTGAACGGTGGCTGCAGTCCTCCTGGAGTGACAGATGTGGTTCTGTTGAAGCAGTGATCCTATAGAAGGGTGTAGTTTTCCTCTGACTATCCAGTGGTGGTGTAGATGGGCCTGGTCTTCCTCTGGGAATCCAGTGGAAAAGAAAGCTGCTCCTTTGGAAATCCAGTGGGAAAAGGCTGCCTGTGTTGTTCCAAATCTCTGATTACATCCAGGTAGGAATGCTTGGCTCCTCCCTCTGGGCAGAGCTTCTTGCAATGGGATGATGTAATTTTATCAGTCATGCAGTGAGACTCACTGGCCCATAAACAGAAGATATTTCCTGAAGGGAGGATTGGTTGTGGAAGAGATAAAGAAAACTGCCCAATTAACAGAAGATAACTGCCCCACCTATAACAGATAGGAATAGAATCACACCCCCATTTCCAACCTAAGACAGGAAGACTGAAATATACTTTTAAATCTTGTTCTAATACTCGTATAGAGCATTCTGATTTTGGAACTCATAATCAGTTGATTAAAATTAATTTTAGCAGTAGCCCCTCTTTTTAAAAGTGCCATTTTTGTTCAACTAGCAACGGTTGCACTCAAAAGTATTTTTAATGGTCCTCAGTCAGTCATCATGGGTTATGATAAGAGTCCTTGTGTTATGATGCACTAACTTTTAGTTTTAAAATATTTTATATTTGAAAGTTATATCTCTTATTTTTCTTATATTTCTTTGGGGATGTTAATAGTTTTGAAGGCCTAGAATAGATCTGTGTGTAAACTGTAACTCGTGGTGCAAATGAACTTTAAACATCCTTACTTTTTGCCAAAATCAGGGCTTCTCTTCTGGTTTGGGCTGAGGTAAATTTTTTCACAGTGGCTGATATGGGACTGTGTTTTGGATTTGTACTGGAAACGATGATAACACAGGGATGTTTTTGTTACTGCTGAGCAGGGCTTACACAGAGCCAAGGCCTTTTCTGCTTCTCACACCAACCCACCAGTGGGTAGGCTGGGGGTACACAATTGACCAAAGCCTAAAATGCTGATTAAAATTAGCTTTATTGGCTGATTTGGATTGTTGTAAACTTTAAATTTAAATTTTCTTATACTATAAATTAATCCTTTCTATGTAGAACATCCACATCTCACTTTCAGCATGCTTCAGATATAATACCAAGTTACTTATGCCCTTGGTTGAAGAACTAAACACAAATCTGCTCACAAGTGAACTCTGAAACTAAAAATCTTTGCTATGTAAATTGATGGTTGTATTTGGAAGGAGGGATAAGGAAATAAAGATTAATATTTATCACTGTAAGCTTTGATCTTGTTGCATTGTTCTGCAAATCTACTTTATCCTAAGAACTGATGGAAGTTATAAACATAATTATTTTCTGTTGCAGATGAACCGACACGTTCCTTGAGTGGTCTCATCTTGAAGAATAATGTAAAAGCACATTTTCACAACTTTCCAAATGGAGTAACTGACTTCATTAAAAGTGAATGTTTGAACAATATTGGTGATTCCTCCCCCTTAATTAGAGCTACTGTAGGTAAGTTTACTCTTATTACTGTATTCTGCACACTGAAATGTTACTGATATAAGTGAGAGCTGTGCTAGTGAGAGTTATTAAACTCCTAAAGCTGTTTGCTTCTGATGATTGTCACAACTACATCATTATTTGATTCTGATATTAATCTTCAGTGTGAATATACAAATATATTTTTCCTTCCTATTTTCTTAAAACTGAATTAGCAATTCAGTTTGTATCTCTTGAAATGTGACTGAACATAAGTTTACTTGAATCTGCTAAAATTTGGCTTGCTGCCAATTTTTATACCAAAAACCAGGAGTAAGGTAAAGGTTCTGACTTCAGAACTATTTCAGCACTCCACTTGTGTTAGTAAAACACTTCTGTTTGTGGATTTCCTCTTTGCTCCCCCATATGCACACCTCTTCAGGGAATCATTACACCAGATGTTGCATACATTAACATAATGAGTTTATGTTTTTTAAATAGCTTCTGTCAGAAAACAGTAGATAAAGTGTGGTGATTAGAACATCAGCTACAAGTGTTTTTGTTGTATGGGAGTTTTATTTTATTTCCTAAATCCTGTGGTTTAGTAGACCTCTTCCATAACATGAATATTTGTTATTTTTACTTATTTCTAGGTAATGTTGGTTTTCTGTCTGCTCTTTGAGAATATGATTTCCCTCAGTTATTACAATTGTAATTTTCCTTGTCCACTCCAAAAACTAGAAAAAAAGTGAAATTATTGTATATTTAAGTACAGTAGAAAAAAACAGGGATTGGCTGCAAGTTCAGAAAGGCATTCAGCTTGTATCAGCTGATTTCTGTTATAAAATAATGTCATGGTTTCACCCCTAAGTAACTAAGTACCACACAGATGCCTGCTCACTCCCCCATCTGTCCCCCCAGTGGGGAGGAGAATCAGGTTGATATAAGAACAATTTAATAATTGAAACAAAATAATAATTTCAATAATAAAAATATACAAATAATATTAGTAATAATTGTCACAAGAAGGGCATAGACTTACAGAAGCCAAGAGAAACAAGTGATACGCAATACAGTTGCTCACCACCTGCTGGCTGATGCTCAGCACATCCCTGAGCAACAACTGGCCCCTCATAGCCAACTTCCCCCAGTTTATATACTGGACATGATGTTCTATGGTGTGGAATATCCCCTTGGCCAGTTCAGATCAACTGTCCCAGCTATGCTCCCTCCTGGTTTCTTTTGTGCAGCTCCTCACTGGCAGAGCATGAGACACTGAAAAGCCCTTGTCTCAGGGTAAGCACTGCTCAGCAACAACCAAAACATCAGTGTGTTATCAGCATTATTCTCATACTGAATCCAAAACACAGCACTGTACCAGCTACTGAGAAGGAAATGAACTCTCCCAGCAGAAACCAGAACATTTTCCTCCTCTAATTCCATACCATTTACATCATGCCAGGTCACACAATTCCCAGTTCCCCATCACCTGTCTTTTGATAGATATACACACACATATACTCCCTTAGTCTATGGACTATGGACCCTGTAAGTCTGTTGAGTTCATTCACTCCAAGTGCCAGGTCCTGCAACTTCATGCAGTGCTACAGACTTGGGGAAGAGTGGCTGTTTTGTGGCAAAGTAGGACAGTTTCAAACAAAGTTTATTAGAGAAGCCTTCTGGTTGAGTCACAAGGTGCAAAAAGGACCGCCTTGCTTTCTAAAACTCGTCAGAGAGAGGAGCCTAGGTGCAGCTGGATCCAGCCTTAACCCCAGACTTGGTTAACAGTTTACGTCTAAAGGATTATATAGGTGTAATTGAACCTTTATACAACTTTGTCCTGCAGGATTAAGGCTGACAAACCAGATGTATTTATATAAATATATATGACTTATTATGATAATGATTAGACAAAAATATCTTAATCAGAATTATTTACTGCACAGTATAGGAGTTATAACTACTGGTATAGTATAGTGCACTATTTTGAAGCAATATTAAAGCTAGCAAAAACAGTTGAGATTGATGTTACTCACCCATACCAATGATCGTGAGCAGATCTCTTTTGCTTGGCCTCGAGGAGTAACCTTGAGAGATGTCCTCATTTAAGGGAGGAATCTCCACAGATACACTTCAAGGAGGGGTATGTTAAAAGACTCTGACATTAAAAGTTGGGACTGGGCTTTTATAGTATAAAGTGATTGACTGTCAGTCATGTCTCCAGACCAGCTGTGTCAGCTCAGCAGCTTTAGATAAATTATCAGTAGTATAATTTGTTCCTTTATCTGGGTATTTTACCAGGTCTACCACATCTTCATCTCACTATCAGGGTGTTAAACTTTGGGATTGATGAGTCACACTGGTTTCAGCATTGTTCAACACCAAAAGCAGCAGGACTCCCCCTGTCATTATCTCTGATAGCTTTGCAAATAGGACATTGTTCGAGTTTTCCCCATTCCAGGCAGAGCATCCTGCTACACTCTACCATGTGACTTCAGTCAATTGTTGTATCATGAAATAGTAACACAGGTATCTCTTGCCTTCATGCTATAAAAGCATCCATTGCATATGTGTACATTATCTTTAAATATGTTGAGGTACATCAGTCTCCTAAGGTTTACTATTTTAACTCATGTGGTTTGATAGTATTAGCTATTTTATAATTATACATTACATGTTTACACACAAAGTTATTATCAAAATCAGTTAGAATTTAGCCAGAAATATTAAACAGAGCATAATACAGAGTTAGCTATCGATTCTGGCAAAAAAAAAAAAAACCCTTATTATTTCAATTTATATACTTCTGGAAGGGTTAGTATCCTTATTTGTTGGATTAGGTACCACACATATTGTAGTGGTTTTGGTTCACCAATTTAAGATTTCCCTAATTTTAAGATTTTCTGGTTAACGCATTAAAGAGTGTAGTAGGTTTCAGTGCTGGTCAGTTACCAATGTACTTACTTCCTGCTGTGAGATAGGATGAGGAGAAAGGCAAAGTAGGTTCAAAATTTTAAAAGGGTATAATAAAAATTTTATTAATAGTAACTAAAAGAAAAAAAGTGCTGTAAAATTAAGGCATCTCCTCATCCCTCCTATCTGGGACTTAATTTCATCCTCACTGACCATGATGTTTTCATGTTGTTCCTTTATATGCTTGTATTTTGTTCCTTTCTCTTATTCGAGGGAGGATTGAACCACTGAAAGGGTTAACATGTCGCCTGGAGCCTGCAGATGGTCAACCTGATTCGGTAGGGCTGACTGCTATAGACTGCAGGAGCTGTGGCTGGAGGGGCAGCTTGGATTTAATCAGCCAGGCTAGAACTCATCAGCAGCAGTACTCTGGGGGGGGGAGGATAGTGGTTTCTCCTTCCCCCTGCCCAACCGTTATGGGCAACTTCTACGGGGGTAAAATCCTGGCGCCAACCCGGGGCTGCTCCCGGGGCCCAGTGGGTTCGGCTGGGCCCCGGGCTGGGGCGGGTGTAGCAAGCAGCTAGATGTTAGCAAGGCCGGCTCCATCCGGGGCCCAGGGGAAGGGGGTCCAGCCCCGCAGCAGGGCCGTCCGGCCTGGCACCATGGTAGGGGTCGCCCAGTCTTGTTACTTCGCTCCCAGCTGGCAGGGAAAGAGGAAGTTCCTGTGTTTTTTTGTCTTTTAGTATGTGCTTTTCACAGAGGCGTGTCTAGTTTTCTAGTGGGTAAAAGCTTTGCATTACTTCCTTAAATGTCTCTCAGGCAAAACCATGACACATATATACAATGATCACTAATAAAAACCAGATTCCGATTAATAACAATATTACAATAACAAGTTGTAACATTAAGTCCAGAATGCCCATTGCAGTTGGAGACCATCTGTGTGAGTTGACACAGGCAGGTGGCCAAAACAACCACAAAACAATGGCTGAAATGCAAGGAATAAATTTATTTCATTACCTCACTAAGTGGAGGATTCCAAAGCAACACCTGGGTGGAGACACACAAGCAGGAACACAGCACCATTAGACTCAGTCCTTCCTAGCGAGTGGTAGGGCTGCTGTTTGCACCCATTTATCAAGGGCCTACACACACGTAGTTTACCACCATGCTGTGATCTCCTCTGTGCTTTTTATGATCTCTGAGCTTTGATCTTCCATCTCCTAAGACTGGGAGCTCAAGCATGTCTGTGAGAGGGTCTCCAAATCTCTCCAAACTCCTATGTTATCTCTACACAGAGATTCTACTTCTCATAACAGACAGAGGATAAACAGCAGTAGGCATAATACATGGAGTTTCCTGCACGGTTATTCTCCAGGCCTTGGCATTCCCAGCTGCAAGGTCCCTTGAGCAAATCTACCATCCTCCTCACCATTCTTCTGCTTCTCTTTCCTCCCAACAGCATCCTACTCCCTCTCTCAAGAGACTACTGCCACGGGGTGGAAGTGTAGAAAAGGGTAATTTGCAGAGGCACTTAATGGAGCAAATAGAAAAAAAGTAATAAACATATAATGGTCTAAGTTAAATATCCCAGTCCTCTTGCTGGAGATTTAAACCACTCAGCTAGCAAGGCACCACCAATAGGTTGCCTTAGTTGATGAATGAAGTCCTCTCGATGTCAAATGTTCCTCTCAATGCAGCTGATTCAGCAGTCATGTTGAAGCAGCACATGCCCTCAAACTCAGAACAGTGTATGTGGTGTTGAGACAGGAGGTAGGTCATCAACAACTGATCTGGTGAGCTTACCAGCTGTAGTGCGGTTACTTCCACATACAGGGCAACAATTGCCTTTGATGTCCAATTTAAACCTTAGGTGAAGGCATACCCCAGGTGCTCTATATTTGTTACTTGGAAAAGGAAAAATGTTACCATACACAATTTTTCACATAGTAAACCTGTAGAAATCTATCCAGAGTATGTGCGTGTCATACAAGTCTGCAGAGGATCAGGAACGGGACATCATGCCATGATCAATATGATCAAGTAAAGCCGATTTATTGCAAAAAGCAAGCTATATTTATACTTTTGTGCCCTTCAAGGGCATTGTGACCTTACTCAGT